CTGATGTCCGACCGGAGTTTAAAACAAGGTCAGTTTCCAGAATAAATGCTGCGTTTTAAATTATGCGCAGCTGAAAATCACCAGAAGCAGCTTCAACCTGTTGACTCACCGGCTGCCTGTTGTGCAACAGCAGAGACGCTTCATCCTTATTTTATAAATAGTATTTTTTTTTTTTTAAAGAGATGTTTTTGAATGCAGCCAAAAAGGTTCAACTTTTGCTGAGTGATGATTTATCGCTATAGGAAACGAATAAATGTAGCTAAAGTATGATAAAGTATTTTAAAATCTGAATTATATAATGGAAAATACTTTTAACTATCAATAATCTGCTTTTATATTTAATTCACATTATTTATTACATAACTTATATATGCATATATTTGTAAGGTTATTTAATTTCATACTTTTTAAAAAACCTTTTCCGTGGCGTTTGTGCAGACAGAAAAATCAGGTTTTCATTGTACAACAAAAACTGTTTCTACTGTGAAAATGACAAACATTAAGAGTTTGTCCGCTTTCTCCTTTAATTTGCATCAGGGAGATTTTTTTTTTTTAAATTTTGTTCAGCTGTTAAAGTCTTTAATCTGCAGTAAACACCAGCACACAGAATATCAAAACATTCAATATTCTAATTTTGTAAGAAATGTTACTGTTGATTGATCCAAGTCAGAATCATGAAGCTGAACTAAAATATTAAAATTAGTCAGTGTGCAACTAAAACAAACCATCTTCCTGGTGAGTATCAAACTCATTAAAATTCACTTTTATTAAATGTAAAACTAAAAATTCACACCTCAGATTAACATTAAATCCAGCTTCTGGATTTATTCTCCATTCAGTCCCTTTTAAATGTTTAATTCATTTGAATACCTGGAAAAAAAAACAAAAAACAAAAAAAAAAAACGAGCTCAAGTATCACATTATTCCACAGTGAAGTTACCATATTTTATTTCTTTAAGTGCCATTCATGCATATTGGGGAAAGGGGAGGATGGGTCGGGGCGGGTGGTCGGGCGTTGGTATCGACAATTTTCTAATAACACTTGAGTTATTTTACAGCACTAAACGAATACAAAGAGTAGCTGTGTCACCTCATCGGACAACAAAAGTAATAAACCGTGCAGTAAACAAACAAACAAACAGGGAGACAAAGCAAACAAAACCAAAAAAAAACAAAAGAGAAAGAAATGACAAAGACGAAATAAAAACAAAAACTACAAAATAAAAACACAAACCAAATATATACTTTCAACACTGAAAACACTGAATGTAGAACCATAGGTACAGGTAAAAGGTAGTGTCACACAAAAAGCCAACGCATTTTCATCACATATATACAATATAGATATATACATACTGTCACCCTCTGATAGGACAATAACAAAATATTCTTTTCCCGCCTCTCTCTTGTGAATCCCCCCCCCCGGAGAAAAAAGGGGATGATTGAAAAGACACACTATGTACAAGCACAACGACACACCAGCACTGAATAAAACAGGCCCCAATCAGCAGTAGATGTTGGCAGTTCTCTCCAATGTTGTAACAAGGTTTATTTATTTTTTTTTATTGTTTTTTTTTCTCCCCAATAATAATAATAACAATAATAATAATCTCTCTGGCAGGTACATGTCCAGCTGTATTAAAAAAACAAAAAACACAGGAAGAAGAAAAGTAAAAACTTCCACAAGAACGCACACAAACGGACAAAATGTAAAAACTGGGATCCAGTCGTTTCTTCACCTTTTCCCTTTTTTTTTCCTTTCCCCTTTCCTCCGATCGTCTCCCGTCGGCGGATGAGTTCGTGTGAAAGTCCGTTTTCTCAGTCTTCGCCTGGAAGAGCTGAAAGGCGTCGCCGTGACCCCGTGCCGACCTCCCAGAAGATCCACGACTCGGTTCCGAGAAATTAGTTTGATAGAAACACAAAACATGAGCGAGAGAGGAGCGGAGGCGAACACACGAGACTGGCAGGAGGTTAGAAACGGAGAATACGTGGAGAAATGATAATAAATGGCAGTTTCATAAGCTTAAATCAGAGAACCTTGATTTTCTCCTGCACAGTGCAGCTTCTGGGTGTTCAAGATCTACGATCCACAGTATAAACCAGGCAAAAAAACAAAATCTACAGAGTTTGGTTCTGTAATGTTCAACTAAACTAAAAAAAATAAAAAAATAAAATGTTCGATCTCAAAGTGCCTCGTTTTCACAACATATTGTGATAATTTAAAAATAATAAGAGAAATCAATGATTGTCACTTTAACATGAAGTCAAACAGCACAGCAACACCAGGAGACGAAACCTCGTTAAATAAAACAAACTCGTTCAGGTTGACGTGACGTTTGGTTAGAATAAAGACTGGAAACAAACCGAGAACAAACATTGTGCTTGAGCTCCAGACATTAAAACAGTTCAATGGATTTAAAACCTAAATAAATTTAGGTTTAGTGACAAATTAATTTACCGAGAGGAAACCAGGAGACGCACCGGTCGATCGAAACCGATCGAAATATTAGATATTCAGTTTGTACTTTCAGATTAATGTTAATCATAAACAAATTCATGCATAAATCAGGGTTCGTACATTTTACCAAACTAAAAATTCACTTTTCAAATTTTTACACTTTTCCTGGAGATAAAATATGAAACTAAAGTTTCAATCCTCTGTTGTATAATTTATTACTGTTAATTGTGTTTTGTGATAGCATTTGATATTCTACAGCTAAAATTTTAACTGATCTAAAAATAAAAGTTTAATCAGATTTAAATTCAGATTGTGAGGAAAAAGTGCATTTTTATCTGGTTCCAGCTGTAAATAGTTCTGTCCAAATTTAGGTTTTCAGCAAAACGTTGGATTGGACTTTATTACAAAACTACGCAGTTTGAATATCAGGAACTTTTAAGGACTTAAGATAAAATCAAACGAACCCTGATAAATGGAAATGATCAATTTGTTTTCTGTTGGATTCAAAAACAGGAACCTGTCAATTATTTTTTGATGTATTATTGCATGATAAATAAAAAAAAATCAATAATTTCTGTTTGAATGATTTTTTTTCTCACACTGGACGATAAAAGTCTTCAGTCTGGTGTTTTGGTCTCAGTTTTTTATGAAGGACAGTTTATAAATCATTTAATTTGTCATTTTGTTTATTTACAATGTTTTCCATTTCCAGTGTTAAATTTATAATTTAAAGTTTTTTGATCTTTTAGAATCTGTTCCTTCATTATTATTTTAATATTATATTGATTGAAAATGGTCTCAAAACAACAATATTATCATTTATTAGAATAACTTCTGGGACAATTTATCGGCCAGTAAAAAATGTAATTTTACTGGCCGACCTGCAGGTTCAGATCGTTCTGTTTTCTATGTGCTCTAGTTCTTTAGCACTATTAAAATCAGAATCTGTCAGGAAAACTCTGCTCAGTGCATCTTCACAACAACTGAATAAAATAATAATCTCTGCAGGGAAAATGTTTCTATGTGCCATTTATTAAAATCTGATATGAAAATAATCCCCTTCACTTTATAAAATTTATCACCAAACATGAACCAGGTTTGTTTTATTTATTTATTCTCAGTCCTTTAAACCGAGAATAAACCTAATCAGATTAAATCTTGCAGGTTTATTTAGAGTAGGGGTGCACCGATTGCAGTTTTTAGGCCGATTGTAGATTACCGATCTATAAAAAGCCTGAACTGCCGATTTTGGCCGATACCGATTCATGTTGTCTGAAATGTTGCTGAACGGAGGAAGAAAGTGGACGAGTCGGTAAAGTGCGGTGAAATCGGCTCCGATAAATCGGTGCACCTCTAATCTGGACAACAGCTTTCAGTAAACTCGGCTGACTGCTTTGTTAATCTCTCAACTCCCAGATTAAAAAGCCTGAATACAATCCCAGAAACATTGTGCTACTCCCTCAAACAGAGACACAGTGCTGCAGCTGGAGAAGCACCAGAACGGTAGAACCCGACGCGGCGCAGCAGAGCGGCCAATCGAAGCGGCCGCTGCGGGACGAAACGAGGTCGGCTTTGCGTCTGGAGGCCAAGTAAACAAAAGGAACTCATGTGCAAAGGGCTCATCCTCCTCTAACCATAGTGTCTCTTTAGGCCAGCAGCGCTGCTGACCGTGGAGCCGGTTCTGGAGAACCTTCGGGTCGCTCCACTGCTCTGTGCTTGAGAAAACCTGCCTGCGTGAGCCGCCTTCCCTCCTTCACCGTGTGCTTCGCGCTCACACAGAGCAGAGGTGAGTGCAGCCAACAATCGGAGCCTAAAATTACAATTTAAAGAAAAAAAACAACAACAACTGATCGCATCGGACTCTGCAGGGAGCATCAAACGGTCTCTAATGTTCACAAACAGACGCTTTGTTATTGATCATTAGGGCTGAAGCTAACAATTATTTCAGTAATCAATTGTTCTGTTGAATAAATCGGATAAAAAATGGCCACATTCTGCAGATTTTTCATCTAAGCATAAAAAATAAAGAATGCAGTTCCTTTTCAAAATTAGAAAATAAACATTTTTATTGCGTAAAAAGCAATAATAGCTTCATTAACGAATCATTTGTAGCAAAGGATGAATCTGAAGTTTAACACTTTTAATGTGAAAAGCTTTCTATCAACATCTGCTCATTATTTATGGATTAACCGATTTATAATTGGCGCTTAATCTGAGTTTTCACATAATTTGAACTAGATTAAGCTCAGTCTGCCATTTATGGAGAATATGTTTACAGAAAAATAATATTTTTAAAATCTTAAATCCAAAATGTGTATATTTTTAAAACAGTTTTGGCTTAATTACTGCTTTGCCTTCTCTGTTCTCGAGTTAATGATCAATCAATCGATTACTAAATTAGTTAATTATTTCAACAATGGAGTCATGATTAATCAGATTAAGCCCTATTGATCATTAAATAAAATCTCAAGTATTTTTTTTCCCTGAATCATTTTCTCTCCATGTTTTCTTGCAGATGTTGCTCTATTTATTTATATATTAATATATTTATTATTTGGGATCTGAGGTGGAGTTTCAGACGTTTCTGTGGCTGAATAACTGAGATGTTAATGAGGTTCAGACCATTTATTATTCATCGTGTATTAAGTGTCTTAATCTGGGACCCGAGTCCAAATTTCGTGCCACAAATGAGCAGAAGTGGTATGACAGTAAAAAAATCCTTGAATCTTCATCCAAACAAAACTCAACTCAGATGTATCGTGATGCTAATCTTATTGTTTTTGAGCGGCAGCATCTTATTTAGTGAACAATAGAGACTGAAACAGTTTGAGTTTGGTTGAATTTCTAAAGGTCACCAATCTAAACAACTCTAAACTTCACAAGACGCAGATTAAATTCAAAGGTCTGTTTTCTCACTCCTGATTTCATCTCCTCAATGTCACAATTCATTCATCTTTAAGTGTTTAAGAGCGAACGATGAGTCTCTGTTCTCCCATGGCACACAGAGAGCCGATCACAGCGCCCTGTGGGATCCCTCTCCGGCTCGACTCCCGGTTTAAAAAAAACAAACAAAATAAAATCAAACCAGTGGGGATAAAAACAAACAAACAAAAAAACACCCTGTTCAGATTTTAAACATCTGTAAACCTGTTTTCCCCCAGAAGCGACCAACGAGCACCATCACGTTACTCACAGAGACAGACGGCCTGTGTTTTCTTAAAAATAAAAAATAAAAATAAAAACAAAGAGACAAAAATATCATAAACACAAAAAAATAAACAGAGGGGAGAGAAAGTTGGAGAGAGAGAACTTCATCTTAGAGGCAGCTGAGGCCTATGTCGACACGAGAAGAATTACAAGCTGAACACGTCGCTCAAATCACATGACAGTTAAGGAGCAGAGGGGTCAGGGGTCGGGTGGGGGGGGTGTGGCAGGAAGAGGATGGTCTGGGTAAGAGGAGGGGGCTGGCTGAGGAGGGTCACTGTCAATGAGCTCCACTCGTCTCCAGACGAGAGCAGGTCTGGCTGAACATGATTGTCTTCAAAGTAACAACGTTTTCTGGTTGTGGTTCGCCGTGTCAGGACTCTGAAGTCTGCGGGGCTTTTCGCCGTGTCAAACGTTCCTCTGCATCACACAACCTGCGGCCTCGTCGGCTCAGCCTGGCCTCCTCCGGGCTTCGCCCCCCCCTCCCCTCCTCCTCCATCGGCTTGGACTTGCTTTGACGGGGAAGTGGAGCGGCTAGACGATGGAGTCCCAGTCGAAGTCGTCCTGGATGTCGTCGGCTTGCATGCGATGCATCTGGAAGGTCCTGGAAGGGATCATGTGCTGCTGGTTCATCTGTGCATGGTGTCCTGCAGGAAACAAGCGGCAAACATGGCAGGTTGTTATTGTTTCACTTTAAGAAGCCAAATACTTATTTTGAAGGTCTTGAACGACAGTCCTCCAGGGTTTTGATATTTTCTTTGGACTATCTGACTGTTTTTCAGTCATTTTCTACAGAGGGATCGTCAGTGGACATCACCCTGCTGCACATCAGAACAGGCAAGAATAAATTATTATAATTATTTAAACTATTTACAATTAGGCTAATAAAATAATTTACATCTAGTAATCAGTACAGATCTCCTCTCTGTCCAGTGAAACTCCCATATGCAGCTTTGTTAGAGGTTTTATTTTCAGCACATTGTCTCTGCACCTCACTCTGCATCCGGTTCAACCTGCTGAATTTTAATTTCTGAAGGTTTAGTTTATCACCTGCCTTGATGGCTGCAGCTACGTCTTCATTTCTCTCCAATTGTGACCAAACTAGGAAGAAATGATTTTATATGTCTTCTGAATGCTAAATATCTGGGGGGGTTTAAATAAAAATGTACATATTTTATTTCTTATTGTTCACCACGTATATGTTTACAACATGCTAGCTAATGTTAAAACAGCAAGATAAATGCAGGTAACCATAGAAACTAGAGAGAATCCAATGGACGGCTCGGCTCTTTCTGCAGTCAAATTGCGCGCGCGCGCGTTCGCTGCGTTTAACAAGCAAATCATCCTTCTGTGAACATGTCGACAGAAGAGATGGGAATCGAGAACCGGTCCTCAGTAGTTCAGCTCCTTGGAATCGATTCAACTGATCGGTTAAGGCGCGATGCATTTGCGTGACGACGTGTTGGCCACGCTCCGTTATTTTGCTTCAGAAAATATCCAAGATGGCGTCGCAGCAGAAGCAGCATGTTCAGATCTTTAATCACAATAAGAGGAGGGAATACATCCAACATCCTCAAACCACACAGCATGTAACCGATTTGTACCAATGTAGAGTGTTGATATGTTGCTTAGCAACAGCGGTGACTCTGGAGGGGGGCGGAGCTTTGAGCATCTCCATGGAAACGTTAAACTACTACTATTAATGTTATGAATAATCTCCATCTCATTAACATTTGCAGTCATATTAAATAAATTAGAATATATTTTCCGATGAGGCTCGTTTATTATGTTAAAGGCATAAGCTGTTGATGTTACAATGTTTATTTGACAGAGGGATTCTTATTGCTCAAGTTAGTTTTTATTTAGTTTGAATCAAACATGGTGCATATTTTGAATTAAAGAGTCTATTTCATAAATCAATGAGAATCGATAAGGAATAAAATCTGCAACCTGACTGATCGACTCAGCCCCAGAGTGGAGCTTCAGCTCTCTCAGTTTAATCAGTAAAACATTTTGTGCGTTTGTGGATCTTTTTGAAGTTATGAACTGTTTCGGTTTGTGAAAAACCCAAAAGCCACATTGAGGTCTGACACTATTAAAAAGTGAGAAAGGTTTAGGCGGTGTGAAGAGGGAATGATTTCTCAGAGCAGGGTGTTTATGGGGCGATTACCTGTCATTGTGGGCCCCGTGTTGCTCATGGGGGGCATGTGGGGGTATCCGGGGGGACCCATCATCGGGGGCATACTCTGTCTTGTGTCCATGTAGAGGTTTCCTGATGATTAAACACAATCAGAAGCTTTCTCTGACATTCAGCAATCCTGAATCTATAACACGTATATTAACAAAATAAACAATGTGAAAATAAAACGGCATGTATAGTTCACCGTTCACTTTAGGCTCTGTCGTTTTCTCCTACTACTCTCCATTCTAACATTATTTGCTGGTATTAATGTGGTGTTTGTTTCTCTTTTTCTTTAAAAAGTAGAACCGGATCAGTGATTCTGCATTTAGTCTCTTTCTTTCTCGCTGCCAATATAAATGTGACCCATTTGTCCCGTAAAGTGCCTTGCGATGACGTTTGTGATTATTTCACGTTATTTAATTAATCTACATGACCCGTTTTTAGCACAGACACTCCAAATAAATCGCTTTTTAAAACATAAACTGCTTTAACCTTCTGCAGGTGTACAGACCTGTGTTGAGGTGCTGGCCGGGTTTGTTGGTGTGCATGGCGCCGTGACACACAGGACTCTGTACTGCCCCCTGCTGCTGAATGACGCCGGTGCGAGCAAAGAACTGGTTGATGGACGAGCAGAGGTCCGCGATCTGGGTGGGTTCAAGGCACCAATTGTTCAGCTCAGCCTGTCTCATGCTTTCTCTTAAACCTTTGGAGACAAATGCAACGTTTTTGGAAATTAATGAAAACTGGAACAGTTTCTTTCAACAGAATGTAAACGTAGCAAGCGAACGACGCGTCTGCAGCATATATTCATCATATCAGCAACCTTCAGTGGGTGATATTTAAAAAACATCCTACCTTGCATTCCTTGACTCTTAATTGGATAAACTGACCTGCTGAGCTGGGTGTTTTGGTAATTAAACTTGAAGGCGGTGTTATTTAATTGAAGAGCTCGGTTTAATTAAAGTTGTAATCAACTCTGGAGTGCCGACACATCAGCACTCAATCAAAGGCTGGAGCAGAGCTGTACATCCAGCCTCTGCTTTTAACGTCGGAGGAAATTAATCTGGAGTCCAGATCACTCTCAGGTGAGTCTCACTGTGTGGATTCATCACTGATTTATTTCAAATGTTTGACTTGAAGCAAACAAAAAAACAAACAAAAAAATCATATGATACAAGACTTAGAAATGGATTATTACTGTAGAAATGTTATGTTGACACAATCATCCTGAGCTGAACTCAGAAAGTGAAGCATTACGGAGAGGAAGATGTGATGAAGATGACCTACAGGTCGCTCCGTGCCACGCCGCATTAATGCAGTAAGTCGAGCTAAATGTTGGAGCAGATCTGCTACGTTTGTTCTGATTTGATTGTCATTTTATCCTGTTTTCATAACTTTTCTGTCTGTTCATCAGTTATTTCTTGTATAAATGTTTTATTTTGTTGATTTTTTTCTTTCTTCTCTCAGGACAAAGAATGAATTTAGGTATTGTGCCAATTCCTGAATATCTACTCTGCCATGAATGGTGTTAAAGTTGATTAATGTCAACTATTTTAATTAAAACATTTTTTTTTATCTTTTGTTAATTTTTTTGGTTAAGACATTGCTTTTTGTTTGGACAATTTTTTTTAATTGTCCAAAAAAACATTAAGATAATTTCTGTCATTTTTTTAAACAACCGGAAGCAACTGATTAGCACCTCAAAGCTCAAATGAGCTCAACTCCATCGCTCTGTTTTCAAACCACACAGCCAAACAGATTTAAAAAGGAACGGCAAAAGCAAACGAGGTGGATCAGCAGTCTTTGCCTAGAGCTGATGATATATGCTGATGATTCTGTCACTGGATGGTGAGGTGTTGGCATTCTGCGTCATCATGAAACATACAGCAACAGTCTTCAGTCAGAGGTATCGTCAGATATGATGCAAGACTGACTGCTTCTGGAGAGTGAAGATACTTCGATGATATAAGTGAATGAAAAGGTTTTTTCAGAAAGCTGACATTTCTGTATTAAAATAACTTGTTTTTCCTCCTGTAATTATCTGATAAGGTGAATTTCGGGTTTACTTTAGTTGTAAAAAAACAAAATAAACCATTAAAAACTATTGAGCTGAGTTACAAACTGTAAAAAGTTTCACATTTTAAATCAAATTAGTTAGAAATGGGGTAATTCTTCATCCTAATCCTTTTCAAATTAATTGAATTACAAACAAAAACTATTTTTATACTGTTTTGATTTTTTGAAACTGGATGACAAAAGTCTTCAGTTTGGTGTTTTGGTCTCAACTAACTTTTTTTTTTTTTTTAAGGATAATTCTGTTTACAGAAACTTCATAATTCATTTTTTTGTCGTTTCTCTAGTTTTATTTATTTTGACTATTTAAAATGTTTTCCAGTTCCAAAGTTTATTAATTTGACAATGTGTTCTTGCATCAGTATGCCATTACCATTATATTACTTCAAAACTGTCTCAAAACAACAATGTTATCATTTATCCCAACAACTTATGGGACAATTTATCGCCCATTCTATAGTGACAGTGCTGTTATGAATAATAAAATCCTGAGCGCAGGTTGAAATATAAACTAATGGTGCAGGGTTTATTAGTGCAATGGACCTTGGAAAGGAGAAAGGTCGACATCAGCCCAGTTGTAGCTGCTGGCAATACGACAGCTTTCTTTCAGGGCATCCAGATTGGGGTACCACTCAGACCGTAAACCTGCAACACAGACACACAGAACGTCATGTCTGTAACTCTAAGAAGAGCATAAAGTTAAGAAGTCATAAAATCTAATTAAATTCTAATTAAATACTGGCTGCTGAATAATAACAGCTTTCTTTTTTATTTTAATTTTAGCAGACTGTAAGGTCAGATTATGCATTTTCACTGCAGTCACGTTTTTGCATTTGTACTTGCAGTAATCTGGAGCCAAAAGAAAGAGGAGACGTCAACTCATCTGACGGTCGAACAGTTCCTGGAAGTGGCCACTAGGAGGAGCCAGTGTCTATAAATCCTGCTGAAGTCGGGGCTTCAGCATGGCTTTGTTCTCCACACCAAAGGTAATAAATTAAAAGATAATTTACTGGTTAAGAAATTAAATTGTTTTCTTTGAGCTCTCTGGCGAAACGGGGAGGATCACCTCCAAACACGGTCATGACTGCACCTGAGCGCCTTCGTCCAGCCGTGTGACGGATTCAAACAAAGGGAAAACAAAAGCAGACGCCGGTCCAGCAGAAAGAGACGGAGGGTCTCACCTGTGTTGCAGGCCATCTGTTGCGGGTGGGAGAGGCTCTGGTGCTGCTGTCCGTGTTGGGAGGGGTGCTGGTTGTGCTGCGTGTGCTGGGCCGGGTGCGCCGTGTGCTGCTGCTGCTGCTGCGGGTGCTGGCCGTGGGTCGGGTGCTGGCCGTGCTGGGAGTGTGCGGCGTGCTGCGGGTGCTGGCCGTGTTGGTTGTGCTGCGAGAGGTGCTGGGCGTGGGGCGAGCCGTGGCCGGGATGGGCCTGGGCCGGGTGGGACAGGGGAACCTGGCCGCTGTTGTTGTGGTGGTTGTTGGGCTGGTTGTTTGACAGGCTGTTCTGAGTGTTGATGGTGCCACTGGGGGAGTGCTGATAGGAGCAGGAGGTGTGGGTCTGCTGGGAGTTATCCGACGGTATGCCCATCAGACCTGAAACACACACACACACACACACCGAGCTCTGAGGACACGCAAACAACCAGAGACTCGGGCAACCTCCCAGTTTATGACACTGCAAACCTCAATGTACCTTACTGGAATTTAAAACAACAGGCCAATATAAAGTAGAGCATCAAGTGAAAGTGGATAAAAATAAATCTAAAAACAATCAGAGGGATTTTGTTTTGGTGCTGGGTGATATAGAAATCCAGCTTTTAGCAGTTTTACAGTATTTTCTTTGAATAATTTAATCGAATTTCCACAACAGAATGACATTAAAATGATAAATTCTTATATCTAATTATCTTGTCATTAGGTTGAAAACAATATGCTTTTCTTTTACATCCATCTCTTTTTGCTAAAAATGTTTCTTTTTCTGCATATTAAAACCTAAAAATAGAAATAAAATGGTGGTTCCTTAAAAATAAATTTCCCATAGTGGACAGGAAACTTGACATTTTTAAATTAAAAATATAAAAATGTCCTATGAAAAGGTCATTTTGATAAGTTTATTTACCTGGACGGGGTACAAAAATTAGTCTTTAAATATGGCAAAAGTTGCAGACCCCTGGTATAACCGTTTCATATAAGTCAATATCAATAATTATTGATTAGCTTTTTTCATTTAAACATATAAAATCCTGCCAAACTAGTCACCTGACCGTTTCTGTTTTATCCACATGTTCCTGCAGAGATGTTGTACTAATTTTCTCTTTTCACTCCACACAATTGTTTGTTTTATTTTTAAGCAGTTATAAGGCACCGAACTGCTGCGCCAGCTACTCAACAGGTTGCTAGGTAACCAAAGAGTGACTCAGTGGGTTGATTCCACTAATCTTCCTGAACTGGCTGTTAGGTTGGTTGGGTGGCTAAAGTCTTTCCTCTGCCTACATCTCCCAGAATGCTGTGCGATTCTGGATCAGAGGTCAGTGAAATTATTCAACATTTTATCGGATCATGTGTCTATGGCGAGATATATATATATATAGATATATATCTATATATATATATATATAGCTATTGATTTATTGCCCAGCCTTGTTTTGTTTACATTTGTAGTCTGTCCCCTTTACTCTGACGCCTCTGAATAAAATCCAGTGTTCCCACTGCCTCCAGAGATTGTTTAATTTAATTTATTTCAAAGTAGGGAGCCAATAGGGGGCGCTAGGGGACCTCAGAAAGTTGGAGGTAAAATTAAAAAATACAAAAATAAATCAATATATTTTTAATTAGAATTTTATCACCATATAAAATAATGTTTTTTAATTAATATTATAAAATAAGAACACCAAATATCAGTCTGTAGATAAAAAAAAAAAAAATCAGTTACAGACAAACCCTACCATTTTTGGCTGTAACTGCAGTAAAAACCAGCCGTTAGTTTTCTCCTGCTTCATGTCTATTCACTACTTTGTGATAAAATCCCAGTAAGAAACATTGAAAACTGTGGTTTTGATGTGATAAAATGTGGAAAAGCTCCAAGGGTGTGAACACTTTTGCTAGGCCTTGTAACTGCAAACAATACATTTGAATGCAGATGTAAAAAGTGGATAGTAATGTAGTTAGGCTCTCTCTCAGTGTTTACTTTGACTTCTTTCAAACTCTGAGCAGCGAGGGTTTGAATCCCTCATGAAATCATCATCAATGCAAATTCAGTTTATGCTAGATTTTAATCTTTGGTTATTTCATAAAAAGTAATCAACTCAGTAAATATCTGAAAATAACTGATCCGGGAAGCATGTCAGGGGTTTTTAATGGAGAGCTGCTGCAGGAGCGTCAACATTTGAGAAAGACCAGTTGCCATTTTGTTGCGTCAGGGAATGACTCAGCTTGGGCTATTGGACGTTTCACAAGCTGGAGCTGCTGCTCTCTTTCCTCCTCAGAGTCCTGTATCATCTCTGACTATCTGGTTGTGCAGCTCTTTAAGCAGCACGAACATCTGCGCAGCCCGCTGCAATCATCTGAGCGGTGGGGAGGGGCCCTTAAGAGGCCCCGACCTTCACAGTTTTGGCACCGCGAACCCATTCCACTGGAGTGCTTTCAGAGCCGACTCTGGGCCCCGCACCTCCACAATCGCCGCAGGGGTGACAAAGGTGCATCTCTTATCGGTACAGAAAGCCCATTGTCCAACCAGGGAAATACAGAAAGCAATTAGCGCGGCACCGGAATAATAATGCGAGCTCATTACCTATTATCAAAGCCAGTGAATTAGCTCACTGTCCGCAGCGGCAGAGTGTGAAATCCTCCAAGCTCGATTATTTACGCTCTTTAATTGCAGGAGCTTGTCTGAGAGAAATTTCACTTTTATGCACGTAAAAAAAAAAAAAAAAAATCTGTGTTTTAACTAATAAAACACAGATGATAGATTAAAGCAGACTCTCATTAGCATGAAATGCATTTGATTTGTGAAAGTGGGTTATCCACAGAAAGCTCAGTCTGCTTTCCTCCTGACTCGCTTGTCAAGAGCTTCATGTTCATCAGTCAATCAGATTATACACAAAACTGCTTTTTCTTCTGCAGGGATTCTGATGTTTTCTTTGACTTGTTATCCATTAAAAAGATTTAAAAAAATAAAAAATCCCATCAATGTAAGTAGGAGTTTTTGGGCTGCCAACAAGCTCTTGCCCTCCGTTTGAAGCGCGACCAGACGCTCTTAACTTTCACGTAAGGGCGAAAATAAAAAGTAAAGAATTAACAATAAAAAGTGCAGTCATATCTCTTTATGTCCTGCAATAAAATATTTAAAGCATGAACTCTCAGACTCCAGCTCTAAATAAATAGATAAGTCTTAGCATTTCCCTGGCAAGAGCCTGAAAGTCCTCTGTAAAGGTTTGGATTAAAGCCAAGTGAGCCGAGCTGAATACCTGCACACTTAGAGTAAACCTCATTAGTTCCTAAAGACTCTCTATAGCCCCAGCTGTTAGGAACAAGCCCACATTAGGAAAATCGCTTCTAGGATCTTCGGCTCGCTGATAGATTTCCCCCCCAGCGCCCTGGAGAGGCTGCTCACCTTGTTGGCTGAAGGACTGCTCAAAGACAGACTTGTAAAGGCTGCGGAAGGAGGCACTGAGATCTTCGAAGTCTGAGAACGGGAGCTGCTTTTCCCTGTCTGGCATACTGTACTGGGACTGGGGGGGCTGCTGCAGGCTCATCGACTGGGACACGGGCTCCGGATGAGTGGTCACCTGGGGAGATGGAGGGAGACGAGGGAGACGCTGGGTTTAATGTTTAACATGTGAAAGGAGCTACTGCTGGAAAGATGTTTAAGCAGACATAAATTATATGTAAAAAAAAAAAGTAGAGCATGATATGTATTCAGCCGCCTGTAGCTGTGCGAAGGCTTCAGAGGTTTGTTAGTGAACATTTGTGAAAAACAGCATCATGATAAACAGCAGACAGGAAAAGAAATCAGGCTGTGGAGAAAATTTAGAGCGAGGTGAGGTTATAAAGCAATATCCTAACCCATAAAAAACATGTCACGCACTGCTGTTCAATTCATCATCTAGAAAAAACCCCACAAAGTCAACGTGAGCCGACCAGCCGGACAAGGAGGGCGTTAATTGGAGAAGCAGCTACTGCACAGCAGCAGGAGCTGCAGAGATCTACAACTCAGCTGGATTATTTAATAACTTTTAGTTTTGCACTTCATGAATCTGTCTTTATTTTAGGCCGACATCGACACCACACTGGTTTGGTCCGCTTTAATCAAACTCTGGTTCATTGGTCTAGAGAGTTTGGTTTGATTGGGGAGGTGTGAACGCGCAACCGAACTCTGAAGTGGACCAAACAAGCGAACTCTGGTCCGATTAAAAACCTAGGTCTCAGTTCAGCTGAACTGAACTCGCTTGAATGCCAAACGGACCAGAAACCGCTACAAAAGCAGGAAGTTGACTACAGCATTGTGGGTAAATACAACCAGAACAAATGCACTAGAGGGTGAAATGGCTCGTTTTTTATTTTTACAAACGACAAGAAAAATCCTATAACCACTAAAATCTGATGCCACTTCATTTTTGTTTACAGTTTGTGAAGAAGGACGTTGTGCTCAGAGTCGTCTTCTGAGGTTTTTGTGTCATTTCCTTCAGTAGTTCCCGGTGCAGCGCCACCACAGGTGAGGAGGTTAAAAGTTTTTTGGATAGTTTGACGTAGCGCAGTATGAAAGTGAATCTCACCAGGTGAAAATGTAAGAAATGTTGCAATTTTGGTCAAAGAGATGCAAGAAGAAATCCAAAATAAGCCAAAGGTAAAGTTTTGGTCTCATCTGCACATTATGACTAGATCGTCACCACTATGAAACATGGGGGCGGCAGCATCATGTTGAGGGGAAGTCGTTCTTCAGCAAAGACAGGAAAGTGAATCAGAGTTGATGGATTTTTGTGTGCTTCCTGCACAGCGAGTGCGGCGGTTCGAATCTGCTTCCTCCAGAAATATTCACATTATTCTGTAAATTTCCCTGCAGTCAGAGTGTGTGTGTGGGTTGTGCATATAAGTTTCTGTTTGTTGCGTTGTTGGAATAATTGTTGGTGCAACAGAAACAGAAAAAAACAACCTGTGAAATATTTCATGTAAATCAGTGATAAAACTCAATGATATCTCCATTCTGTGAAGCTGCGACCATCGTGTTTCAGGCTGAAGATGCGTCCCTCATGCAACATAAAGAACAAATTACGTACACCATAACAATGCAGGTCAGTGCTTACCGCCTTGGCTCACACAGCATTAAGAGAGCAACTCGAACGGACATAAAGCCAATACTCTGGTGGCCGAGCAAAATGTATTTAAAACAAAATCAATAGCAATACCTTGAACAAATAAGCAGGCATTTTATCCATGTATTTGTGTGGGCAGTCAATGTAACACACCGCCTCTGGGTGTGAGACAGAAGCACTGTTCCCTCCAGCTAAGGGCTTGTCTGAGAGATTCACCGCAGCAAAGGCAGCAACGAAGACACAGTCCTATTTCACACAGCAGAAACCTGACCTGTGTCCACTGTGGGCTCGCTTTACAAGAGAGGTCGTGTTCAATTTTTGATCCTAACATCTTCCTCTTCTAAAATGCGGACAGGCCGCTGAAGTGTGTGGCTCGTGGACTGGCTTGGAGAAGAGTGGAGAGGTGATAATAAAGCCAGAGTGTTTACTGAGAGCTGCCGCTTAGGCTGGGAGAGAAAAAGAGAAAGAGAAAGCAGGAGCAGGCGGGCGGGCGGGCAAGCGTGAGCGCATCCATCAGGCTGAGCCGATCGATGCTCGGCGCCTGGAGCGGGGAGCACTCCAGGATGCAGGGAGGACCACACCAAAGAGGGGGCATCTCTGGTGGGAGGACATCAGAGGGAGAGCTTCTCTTTGTCTGGCTTCCAGGAGCGAGCGCAGTTTTCTTTGTTTCTCTTAACCCCGTTCCTGATGTTGTACTCTCGCTCATGTCCACCCTGAACCTCGGTCTATTGCCGTCTGCAGCTGGTTCTTCTGAACAAAACCTCCTGGGGCTTTTCCATCAACTCTCACACAGGATACAGTCGGCTTTCTACGACTCGCAGGGTTTCGTTTTTAGTCCTTTTCGTGACCGTTGCTCTCTAGCAGATGACAACTATTGATCAAAATGTATAATTTACTACTCTGAACTAAAAAAACCCCCCAAAAAACCCCACTACAACGCAAAAGTTTTAATGCATCTTTAATTAATTTACGCGCTGCTTTCTTGCAGAGCGTAAATTAATTACGCTCTGCAAGCGTAATTATACGCATACGTAATTATACGCTTGCAGAGATCAATATTCCTTCAGGATTTCTGTGGGGTTTTGGATTTTGCCTGCTTTATCGCTCTTTTTTTTTTGCGCAGTTCCAGAAGTGGAACCGGCAACGTCAGGCCGACAGTTCCAGCTCAAGTTCGATCGAGAAATGTAAAACTTTGCTAAATTTTATAAGGTGCAAAGAGATTTTAAGACATATCTTTAACTTTGTGCACTGGCCTTCCACTATTTCCCCTGCAGAAACAAATTATTAATCAAACAGGATTCTCATCAGATTTCTTGTAGTCAATCACCATCTGCTGAAACAAAAATCGGCTGAAAGCTACTATGTAAAGCCTTAGATTTATTTTGTAACACTGAATGCTGATTTGCAGGTTCCTTAAGACGGACCTTAGCTTCTGGAAAACCCAATGAGAGAAACATACATTAATTTAAGTTATATTAAATGGCAGTTAGCAGCGATTTATTTCAAATTGTTCTTAGGCAGGGTAAGCTCCAGAAAAAGGACTGACCACCAAAACTAACAGGTCAGATCAGAATTTCCTGAGATTTATTGTGCTATTATATGTGAACAGATACTGAATACTGGCAATCAATTTAAAACAAATCTGCAAAATTCAACCTCCGTCAGCTCTACTTTGATTCTGATTTCTTTCATTGACATGTTCTTTTTCTTTCATTGACATGTTCTTTTTTTTTTACTGAAGTCTGTTGTCTTCTGAGAATAAAGACTGTTGGAAAGCTCTGATTCAGGACCAAAACTGCAACATTTGTTACGTTTTCAGCTGATCTGTTTTAGCAATGCACTGATCCTCTTTTTTTTCTTCCGATACTGATACAGATATCTGTGGTTTAGAATCAGCGGGTACCGATCCGATACAGAGAAACTGTGCTGAATTGACTTCAAATGTTTCTTTTTAAACAGAGGCATAAAAGTACTGATTTACAAATTTATGTGGTAACTCTGCACCAGTACAGCCCACTTATTCACACTAACAGCTTCACAAGCTTGGTTGAACATGTTATAACTTTAATTTGTTCAATCAGTGCAATTTGAGAGTATAACAGCCAACGTAAAATAATAAAGAAACTCAAATGGACAAAAACAATTGGTTGACCACCTTGGTAAAAAATTAAACTTTGTTTCAGCTTGTTCAGAAAGTACAATTAGGAATTATAAATATAATGTAAAATAAATAAATCATGACGTGCTCAGAGCACGAAGCATAGAATTAGACTGAATAGATCTGCACCTATGAATCGGGCAGATTGTCACAAATATCCGATATATTTGTGACATTTTTCAACATCAGGACCAATACAGATATTAATATTGGATCGGTGCATGTCTACGCAAAGCAGCTAAAAGCAACCTTAATATTAAACACATCATAAACAGATATAATTCATGTGTTCTGGTTCATTTATGTTTTATTTGCTGGTTCTGTCAAACTCCCACAGTGCAAGCTTCACCTCCATAAATAGGATTTCCAAGTAGCATTGCGCTGACAGACATTTTAAAATAGTGCAGCAAGACTTGGGAATAAGGAAAATGGATCATAGGACTGGTTGAAGGATAGGCTGCAAGTCTGGAGCTGGAAAAATAAAAAAAGGTTCTGAAAAGTTAAATATATCCAATATGTCTGCCTAGAATCTAAAACTTAGTGATGGGTGCAATAAAAAAGTAGTTTTTGCACTTCTGATGATTCGTTTCTCATTAAATCTTTCCCACACTTTGGTATACAGTCTCCTTTACTGAGTACACTGATAAAGTGTTTCATTGTAAAAAAAAAAAAAAAATGTAGGAGAAATTGGTTATGCGTTGGCAGTTTAGTTTGTGCTTTTCTAACCCGGTTCCTTTCATATCGAATCAGACACTTCATCTGCTAAGACATCGTTTGTTAGAAAGTTTAGGAATTTAAAGATAAATTTAATACCAAAGCATCTGGCCAAGTGGTCAGTTATGAATAATTTACCACCTGATAGCAGAAAAATAAAACAAAAAAACTGGAATCTTCAATTATAGGCCTGCAGCTCTTGCACTGGACCATAGTAATGTGATTAAAAATAAGTAATGTGGAGAAATAAGGGACAAAAATCAGAGCATCTGGCTTATTTATCCACCAATAGCAGATAAAAAAAACCTGAGAAATGCATCATTCTTCAACATGTCAGTTAATCTGTATGTCAAGTTTTCAGCTAATAGCGTTCACTGAATCACTACATTGGTAATGATTTAATAATATCTTTGATATTTTTCTCCAAATTCAACTAATAAAATAAATAAACCACCATTTAAGATTGGCAGTAATTAGTAAAATGTTAAAACTGTCTGTTAACTTGCCTGTTATTTGTAGAGATGTCACTGGTTCAGTTTAGTTGGCCTTTATTTTCTGTCTATTGTCTATTCAAAGGTCTGACTTTAAACATCCTTCATGAAAAAAGCCAGCAAGCGATTAGTTGAAGAAAACTAAAGGTTTTCCTGAAAGCCTGGTGAACTATAAATCAGCACAACTTGATATTTCCAGGGAAGTCTGGCTGCTGGGAAGGAAAATTCAAAGAAAGGAGGAATTTCTCAGAGACGTAAGAAATAATAAAAACATTAATGTTTAATAAAGTGTTTGTTTTTTTTTTGGTGGTAGCTCAGCTTTGCCCCAGTTTTGTAGCCAAGAGTTAACATCAATTTGTATCAATTTAAATAAACACCCATTTGTTATCATTTAAAGTTAAACATTTCCATGAATTTTAGAGATTATAAAATGCAGAAATTTCTTATCACTCGTAAAATATGACAGATATGAAACTTAACCACACTTCCTTAAAGCAGATTAGGATCCGGATGTAAAAAAGTACTTTACTTGAGCTGCTGGCAAATGGGGACAAAATATATCTGGTCATGTAAAAACACCAAAACTACATTTTTTTTTTTAAAAGGTGAAGGGGTGAAACGACCAGCATCTGCCCCGTTACATCGATGTGCTGCTACAGATGATTGTGATCCTGCGTGGCTTGTATCTCACGTTAGAAGAAATAACACAGTTTGAGATAAAAGCTGGCGCTTTGAATCTTTTTGCACTTGTAGAAATCTGTTTTCCAAACAGACAAATATGACATTGTTCTTACCGGTGTGTAGCTGTGAACGCTGCCCACACTGTTGAGATTGACAGAGGCTAGACTCTGATCAGACAGGCTGTTGTTAAGGCTGCTTCTCGGACTATCGCTTCCTTCCTGGTCTGTGTTGTACAACGCCACCTGGAAAACATAAACACACAAACGCATAAGAAAAGGAAGACTTTAAATAATTTAATTTATATAAAAACCATAAAGGCCTTTGGGTGTGTGTGTGTGTGTGTGCTTTTTTTCGGGGGGTACGGGAGCCACAGGGTGCTGCTTAACGCAGCCCACAGCCACTGAGGGGTTTTGTAAAAGGGAGTCTGGAAACAGCTGAGACATTCCCACCGCTAAAGGTCAGGGCACTGGCGATGTCAGCCACATCTGCTCACCGAGCGCAAATCGGTTTGGGACAGCTAACAAAGGATTTCAGTGCAGCCGAGACGCTGACCTTTCAGTGTAGGAGCGAAACTAGCTGAAGCACTTCAGGACGACAATCTTAATTATCATCTAAGAAGGTTCTGTTGCCCCCACCGACGCCTAATAAAGTGCTCATCAGACTCTGAGGACAACAGTAAGCACAATCCAGATAATGAATGTGACAAATCCCAGAGAGGTTAGCCTCTGTGCTGAGGTTTGTTTTGCCAGAAAGGAATGGCAGTAATGCACTGATGGCTGCTGCAGTGGAGGAGAAGAGCCTGGTATTTTAAGACTGGTGTGTGTCTGTGTGAGCCTGTCTGTGTGTGCTGATCCATGACTGAGTGCAGCATGGTGGCTTCTGCTCATCACTACGATCGGAACAGAGCGGGCTCTGTGCTGAGCACAATGAGACAGCAGCAGCAGAGTCTTCAGGCCGACCTGGCCCTGCCAACATCCTGCCTCCCAGCAGCAGCGGCGGTGGACTGAAGCCTCTAGTGTTTCTGCAGAGACACAGCGAGCTGCCACACAGCCTCCACAGGAGCTGGGGAAACCAAGGCAGCCCTGACTTCTTCCTCTGCTCAGACTGATGTTTGGCCCACTGACAAACATGCTGGTTCACTTCCAGGACGCAGAGTTAGAGCCCAGATACATTAAGCCATTAGAACGGAGCTTGGCTCCTGCACTGGTACCAGGGTTCCCACACTGTGTTTGTGTGTCAATATGTCCAAATTCAACATTACAGGTCTGGACGCAAGACAAGTGAAAGGACGCAAGTATGCAAGTAAAAATACATAAATAGGTGGAGGTAAAACGTATGCAAGTAAAAGTAAATATGTGTAAGAATGTGTATATAAAAGTATGCAAGTATAAGAAAGTAACTAAGTGTGCAAAAGTTTAAGTACAAGTGTAAGTAAAAGTAATTAAATGTAAATGTGAATAAGTAGGTGCAAGTATGTGTACATGAGTGTATGTAAACGTACTTAAGTAAAGGTACTTCTGAAAATAAATGTATGTAGGTGTGTGTATAATTATGTGTACGCAAATATGTAAGTAAGTAAAAGTATGTAAATTTACGTAAGAGTATATAAATATAAGTAGGTGTATGCAAAAGTATGTAAATTTACGTAAGAGTATATAAATATAAGTAGGTGTATGCAAAAGTATGTAAGTGTAAGTAAGTATGTGAAAGTATGTGTATGCAAAAGCAAGTACATGCAAGTAAGTATGAGCAATGGTAAGTATGTAAGTGTAACTATGTGTAAGTGAATGAATGGATGGATGGATGGATGGATGGATGGATGGATGGATGGATGGATGGATGGATGGATGGATGGATATAACAGGGCAGATGGAGGGATGGACAAAGACAGATGAACAGATACATGGATGGGGAACTTTTAGAAAACGAATAAGAAATAAAGTCTGTAAACAGAAATATTTTCCAAACTAAGTTTTTCATCCCTCATTATCCAGACTATGTGGCGTTGGGGGTCTAATTTGATACTTTTGCATTCGTTTTCTGACTGCATAGAAACTCTGTGGTACAAAGAGTTCGTTAGCAGTGTTCATTAGCGTGAAGAAGAAACTGAATGAGCAGTTGTGGATAGAGACTCGAGCACATCTACGTAATCAGCTCCACAATGCTAATCAAAAACACCGTGCCACAGAAACATAAATGTTGTTTAATGAAGTCATAAAACAGGCTTTTATGTCTCAAGTCTCTCACCACAACCTATTTTTACTCTACTCAACCATAAAGTGTGTGATGATTTGAAAAACCTCGCTGCTCTGTGGTTTAGTCAAGCCCCTGAGTCCCCTGAGTGAGGACACCCACTTAAAGCATGCATCAACAGCCTAACAGAGTCGCAGCTTACCCACAAAACGTACGAGCTTGCACTTACATACGGCAAAAACACTTAAATACAATTAAGTGTGCACACACAGGTAGAACAGCGCACATAAAACACACGCAGACAGGTTCATGCAGGCAGGAGCAGCGCCGCAGTAAATGCTGTGCATGGTTATTAGGCTACTGAGTCAGAGATCTATTCTTAGCAGTGAATTAAGTAAAAAGCCAGAGGTGTCTTTTACATGGAGGGGGGCTAATCTGCAGCATGAGACATGGATTATGGAATCAAAGCAAGATTGGCCCAGGTGTCTCCAACAACGCCAGAGCACAATCCCTGCATGCAGGACTGAACAGAGGAAGAGAGAGACGACAGACACGTGACAGAAAAGGAGAGGAGTGTTCATCTGTAAATAAGCCTAATTACAACAATCCCTTCCTCTGCTCAATCACCACCACACTTCAGTGGTGAAATTTCAACACATTCACAGCAGAGTCTTGGGTTCCCACAGAAGATGGTTTCAGAGAGCTCTCCATGAGAAGAGGACAAAAGGGAGAAATTTAGCATGGAGCGTCCTACAGACGACAGAACGAGAGCAGAGGTTCCTGCTGGTTCAGTAGTCAGCCTGCAGGCCTCTCCCATTGGCCTGTCGGGGAAGGAGGGAAGGAGGGAGAGAGACTGGAATAGAAAGACAAGAGAGAAAAACAGAGAGAGGGAATTCCTGTGGCTTGGCACGGCGCACCGAAAGAGGCGTGGCCTGTCGTGTGTTTACAGTGTAAAGCAGTTAGAAACAAGCCCTCTCCTAGGAGTTTGGGCCTCAGATCTGTTGCTCATTCTGTCTTCTACTCGCAAAAACACAATCAAACAAACAGAAGGAAAACAAAGAAAAACCTGTCGCTCATCAACAGCACAAGTGTCGGGTTATTTTATAATCTTCTTGCTCATCTGCGCCATTTCACTTCTTTTCTTTTTTTTCTTTTTGCACTTGGCGGCAGAGTCTGGGCTTCACTGTCAACACTTAACATCAGGGCTCCATTATGTGGTCACTGCTGGTGTTGTGGACTCAGAAAAAGTGTCATCTTCCCTTACTGCGTCTTGCAAAACTATCCATACAACCTAAACTTTTCCACGTTCTGTTGTAAACACTAGCTTCCATGTGACTTTATGAGATAGATGAAAAAAAAAAAAAAAAAGTAGAGCGTATTTCCAAAATAGAGACAAAATGGCTGGTTTGAGATGAAAATAAATGCCTTCAACCCCTCTTGTCAATGCAATCAAAGCTTTAAATTTGCTGAGACATGTCTGCACCACGTTCACAAATAGAGACTTTATAAGCAAATATTCTTGCGAAACAGATCAGTCAGCTTGGATGGGGAGTGTCTGACAATCAATTTTCAAATCTTGCCATAGATTATCTATTGGAGATAAGTCTGGGTGATGCTAAAATATTAGTCTGCTTTGACCTAAACCATTTAACTCTAAATCGAGAGACTTTTCAATACCACAGCAAAACAAATCCTTAAAACTTTATTAAAAATAAAAAACTTTTCCACTGGCCTTTGAAGGACACAGTTTAACAATGTATTTCATTTGAACTCAGAAGCTGAAATTTCCAAGATAAAATCATCAACAAAGTCCCTAAAAATCATAATTCTACTTGAATAAAGTTATAAATTTCTCATCAATCCAGACCTCAAAATCTTACATAGTCATCTTGCTCACAAAATTAGCTGATGCAAAGACAGTTTCTGATTTTTTTTTTTTTGGTCATTAATCTGCCGCGCACTGTTGAACCCAATACAGCTGCAATGTAGTGAGAAATCTGGGTAACACTTTATTTGAAGGGGAGTGAATAAGACTGTCATGACACTGTCATAAACATGACATAACACCTGTCATGAAC